AAGAGAAGAGAAGAGAAGAGAAGAGAAGAGAAGAGAAGAGAAGAGAAGAGAAGAGAAGAGAAGAGAAGAGAAGAGAAGAGAAGAGAAGAGAAGAGGCAAGGAAAGGCAAGGAAAGGCAAGGAAAGGCAAGGAAAGGCAAGGAAAGGAAAGGGAAAAGTTTAATCTGGTGAAAAAAAAAAAAAGAGAGCTGTGTGGAATATTACTGGCTTCCCAGATCTTCTTGAACAACTTGTCCAAAAATCTGTTGTAAGCCCAAAATAATATGAAATACAAGGGACTTTGTGAAGGAAGAAAGTGTGCCTAAACACTAAGCAATCTGCATTGCATTTACTGACACAGCACATTCTCGAGCGTATAAAAATATAATCTTTCTCTCGCAGACAGTCATGGTCAGATSACACAGAAGCTTTAGGGGATTCAATGTGAACACACTTCAGCACCRCTCACCATGGCTTCCAGCTTTGGTTCCTCTAGCAGTCCTATAGAGRAAAGCAATAAGCAATCCTATAGCAGAAAGCAAAGCCCCATGTATAGAAGACAGCCTGATTTATCGTACTGGGTGGAAGGCAACAGGGAGAGCTAAAATGRGATATTTCTAACTGGAGGGAAAAAGTCTGGAGGAACGGAGACAGGCATTGCGCAAAGAGGCTGCTGCTTGCACCCATGCACCATGTGCAAGGTTAATGCCCAGCGTTCTTAACCCACGGAGGGGGTTAAGAGGGGCAGCGCTGCCCTTCGCATGGGCACAGCTGCGTGAAAAGGAAGGCTCCATAGAGCTAGAAACACTGRGAAAAAGGTAAAAAGAACGGTAGGGAGGAACCAAGTGCAACTGTGAAAAGTTCTGAATTGCTTTAGTCCTTTTAAGGTTTAGCAGACAGAGGTGAGAAGTCTTCCTCAAAAAGACGCTGGAGATAAGAGGTCTCCCTCAAAAAAACTTCAGCTCAGGAACAAGCAGAAAACCTGTTCTCTTCCTTTCTACCCACTAGGAAGAGTAAGAAACCTTTCTTTATRGTCTATAAATATTTACATTTTATCTTTCTGCCACTGGAAGGAAAAAAAAAGGGAAATGACGTTCAGTAGGGTAATGAAAAATGGGACCAAGTCTAGTTGGAGGCCTGTGGCCAGTGGTGTCCCCCCGGGATCACTGCTGGCCCCATTGCTGTTCAACCTGTTCATCAATGACCTGAACGAGGGCACAGAGGGCACC